TTCCTGATTTCTCAGAAGCCGAGGCATGGGCTACCGCAGAGTTATGGTCCCCGTGCCCCTCGCTGAGGGCTCGCTCCCAGCGCATCCTCCTCCGAGAGCCCTCCAGGGCTCGGAGCCGGCTTCCCTGCGGGGGCAAGGCAGAACCCTCCAAAACCTCCCCCATCCCTGCTAGCCCATCGAAGGGGATGCTCTTCACCCCTCCCGGGAAGGGCCGGGCTCAGGCGCCTGCTAAGAAAGCAGCCAAGGACATATTCAGGAATAGCAGGGGGGTCTGCTGCCCAAGAAGAGGAGAGACGGGGGAGTCTCTGCAGCGTGGTCATACTAAAAATACGGAGACTCTAAGCCCCGGCAGGAGAGCTCAGTCCATCGCTCTTCGGGGGCTACAAACGTGGCTCCTCCTTGAGCACCGGAACAAGCAGAGCATCACCCCTCGGGTGAGCTTTCCCTGCCTAAAGCTTCTCCCGGGAGACTTCTCCTCGTCCTGCTTATCTTCTCCGAGCAGACAGCATCCTTCAGGGCCTGCACGCGCTGCCAACACAGGTCCAAGCTCTGCAGATCCCAGTTCTCCGCTTCAGCACCTTCGCTGGGAGCAGCAGGGATGCACCTTGCTTGCAAGGACACGATGCCTTTGCCTCCAGCTCCGCCAGCACGCTTGCCCCCGGCTCCAGCCCGCTCCGTGCACACAGCATCGCTCTCCCAACCCGTCTCGGAGGGAGGCAGGTGAGTGTTTCAGCCACCCCATCCCTCCTCACTCATTCCACGGGGGGGTTTTTTCCCTCTACGTGGCCAGGGAGAGGAAAGCTCTCCCCGTGCTTTTCCAGCCTCAAAGCATGGGATCAGGGCAAGGAGCCTGGTGATGCGGCGAGCCGCTGAGGTCCAAGTCACAAGCATCTCCTCTGCAGGACACAAAGTTCACCAGGATTGTGAAATCCAAAGCATAAACTGACAAGCAGAAAATAGTTCCTTGAATAAGTCTTCCTTCCGGCAGCCAGTCTTTCCCCCCCCCCCCTTTCTCTTTTTGTTTTCCCCCTTTTCCATAGACATGCCACAAACGCAAAGAAATGAGAGAAGAGAAAAATAACAACCAAAAAACCCTGTTCTTGCTGAGGCAGGGTTTTCTTGTAAAGCTTCTCTTTCCGCTCAGCGGGAGCATGAGCAAGCAGAATCACACCCCCGGGCACGGCTGCTCCCAAGGATGCTGGAAAACCAGCACCTCCACAAACAGGCTTCGCTCCGGCCACTGTGCACAAAGTTCCGATCCTTTTTAGGGTGTGATTGGCAAGAAAAATCTCTTGGAGTCTCCCATGTTCTGTTTGCAACGGATGGTTTATGGATGCCTGTCGCCCAAACAGCAGCGGGTGCTTATGAGTAGCTATGTTTTGTGTGAGGGGAAAAAAATATCCCTTTTAATAAATATTTTATTCTTCTTTCCAAGGAGAATGTCTGGAAGACCGACACAAATCACGGTCTTTCTAAACCAATAAAAAATGCTCCAATTTTCAACCCCGCCCAGTAGAATAATTCCGAAATGTGACGGAAGATTAAATTTACTGACTGCAAACGTACACAGAAACAGCTTTTAAGCCCTACAAATCCTGTTTACCACCTGAGAATGAACCGCCGCTTTTGTCAAGCTCAGCAATGATACCAGATTTTTGCAGCACGAATGGACTGAGCCTTCATCCTGCAGAATCTGAACTTTTATTGACCGACAACTACCAGCACGCGATGCCGGGAGGCAAAAGGATGGCAAACGACTTACAGGTTTTGACTGGGTGAACCCGAGGCCAATACACAGAGATAGGTCATGTCCTGTAAGACAAAAGTGGTTGCAGTAATAAGATATACCGCCGAGAAACACAAAATCCCCCATTTCTCTCTTTTCCCTCTCCCCAGCTGACCCTTAGGTGAGGGGAAAGCCGGACTCTGTTTTCGGGTGCCATCTCCTCGCTCCCCGGGGGTGGGGAGAACCACGATGGGTCGCATCCATCCCGCCCCGGGCTGTTTCCCCCTCGTTTCAGCCCAGAGGGGAGGCCAGGCTGTGGGGAACCACTACGATGCTCAGGACCCCCCCCAAAACTGAGCCACCCCGTTCCCGGGGCCCTGACTGGCGAGCCCTGTCAGGAAGACGTGTGCGAACACGCACTGATGAAGTCACTCCGATCAATGAGTTATTTCCTCTCGGTCCTTTTAATACACGATAAATCATCCTGCCGCATGTTGGCGTAGGTCAGATTACTTTCCTTTCTTTAAAACATCGCTTCCTCGATCCTCCCTGTTCTGAGCTAAAATTAGATCCCTTTCATCCGAGTTTTGGGGTTTTTTTAAACTTTCTTAGTGAAATGGGTGGAAATCCTGCCAGCCAGAGCTGAAACAGCCAAGCACCTGGGATTACCCCATCTCCATCAGCTCCCTGCGGCATCGCTGCCGAAAGGTCCCCCCGGGCTGGTGCAGCCCAAGCCCATGGGCCACCCTCGCGTCCCTCCGGCCCAGGGCAAAGTGGGAGGCTGGGAAAAGCCAATTATTTAAGGAGGGAAGGGGCATGGAGGGACGGGCACGGGGATATTTCTGCGCTGGAAAGACCCATGTTGCGAGGATGAGTGCGGGCGGGCTTTCCCATGTATCTCCTCTCCATCCCATCCACCCACCCCAGC